TCAATCTATCATCCATCCATCATCCATCCATCTATCTATCATCTATCTATCCATCCATCCATCATCTATCCATCCATCCATCCATCTATCATCTATCTATCTCAAAACTGTGCAATACTCTGTTTCTTATGCATTTTTCTATTCTATAATATTTATTTATTAAATGACACAAAAGCACACTAATGTAAATAAATATGCATAATTTATTGGAGATATTTGAAAGGCACACACAGATTTATTTCAGGCAAGCATCAGTTTGTTCTTTCATAGTCCAAATACAGCAAAACACATATTAAAATAAGCCAAACGTGACATACAACAGCATGTCGTTTACAGCGGTAAATTGACAGCACACAAAATACAGTAGTAGATAAATAAAATAGTAGTACACAGTACAGCAGTAGTGCATAATTTATAAATTCATTTACAGTAGTGAATTTAAAAAGGCACATAATGAAGGCAAACATGTACAGAACCAAAAACAGGCCGAAAACTGTTTAAAAATATCTTGATAGTGGTAAATTAACAATACAGAATGCACTGAACTAGAATTATATATAAAAAATATACTGTAATAATATCCCATAAATATATCAATATAAAAAATAAAGTTGGAGACATAATATATTTCTGATTTAGCGTCTTTTCTTCAAGTAGTGTGAAGGCTGAAGTGTTTTATCGTTTGGACAGTTGATCCGAGAGCCAATCCAGTCCTTCATATAAACCTGATCCTTGAACCGCACATGTGGCCTGAACAAACCACTGAGAGACAGAGAGAGAAGCACGTGTTTATTTGACTGAAACACACACTGACAGCATGCACTACATGTCAAACAGAGTGTGTGTGTTCACCTGTCTTCCTCTCAGTGCGTGTAAACCCAGTCTGTCTGTCAGCTCGTGGACCGTCATGGCTTTGGGTAAATCCTGCTTGTTAGCAAGAACTAACAGAAGCGCATCTCTCATCTCGTCCTCCGCCAGCATCGCGTTTAGTTCCTCTGCTGCTGTTTCAATCCGGTCACGATCACTGCTGTCCACCACAAAGATCAGGCCCTGAATCACACAAACACACACACTTACACTCAATAGAGTTCATACAAGTAGCTGATTAGAATTTAAATGTTTTTTGTGACAGATCATACCTTAGTGTTGTGATAGTAATGTCTCCAGAGGCGTCTGATAACGTCCTGACCGCCGACATCCCAAACGGTGAATGAGATGTTATTATATTCAACTGTTTCAACATTAAAGCCTAGAGAGAATCAGTCAGTCATTATCAGACACTATTCAAGCAGTCTTTAGCTGCAGTACTTCAGCCATTGACTTCCATTGCGTTTTTCCATACTATGGAAGTCAAAGGTTCCCGTCAGCTGTTTGGTTACCAACATGCTTCAAAATATCTACAGTAAAGAAACTCATACAGGTTTGGAACAACCCGAGGGTGAGTAAATGATGACAGAATTTTCATTTTTGGGTGACTGTCCCTTTAAGTATTTCTACATTTGTTTGACCTTCATTTTCTTACCTAGAGTTGGAATAGTTGTGACAACTTCACCAAGTTTGAGTTTGTAGAGGACTGTTGTTTTGCCTGCTGCGTCCAGACCAACTTGGAGAAGAAATATTGACATTTATTCCACAATGAACATGTACAAGAGTCATAATTGGAATATTTTCTAAAGTTTTATAGGCCTAATTAACATGCATCTATTTGCACTAGAGCGATATTTGTTCAAAACTGAATGAGAATCAAATAATAACAGCAGAGTAAAACATATACTCACCCATAAGCAACCTCATCTCTTTTTTCTCAAAGAGACGCGAGAAAAGGTTAGAGAAGTATACGCCCATTTTTTAATAAAGTGCCGGTGAAAGCGCTGTTTGCTGTATTTAGTGGAAAGATCAGTCCGGAGGATGAGGCTCGGCTTGTTCGTGTGCTCAAGCTGTGGTTGTGTGCGGCTTTATATAGGCTTCTTTACTTTCGCTTTGATTGACAGCTCGACAGTTTCTCTCGCGCAAATCCAACGCGTTCGCTATGACGTCACCTACTGTACTCCACATCTACTGTAAGTCAGATAAACAAGGGTTATTCGTTTTGGTTGTCAGAAAGAGCTTGACATGACATATGAGATCAAATTGAAAATGTTATTTAATTATTTAGGTCACTAACAGAATGGCGTTGCAAAAGCAGCTATAATTTTAATTGAACAACAATTGTTTATGTAGTAAAACCCCTTCAGCAATAGTATAATGTGACTTCAGAATTACTTACTTGCTTTACTTTTAGTCATTTAGCAGACGCTTTTATCCAAAGCGACTTACAAATAAGAAAAAGTAATTCAAACTAAAAGCTACAACTCTATAAATACTATATATATATATACACATTTAAGAAAATAAAAGAAATTAAATAAAAATGACAAATGCATACAACGTTTCAAAACTAAACATTTAAATGAAAACAAAAAAACTATTCAAAATATTAAAAGAACAAAAGGTATGAGTATAATACTGATTCTAGCATAACACTAAGCCAGACACATTACATTACATAAAACTATTAATTACATTACAAAGCCTGAAACATCGCATACGCTCCTCCTTTTATTCAGCCAAGAGATTTGAAACTTTAGACTGTAACACGATTTGTACAGACGAATTATACAATTATTTTAGCTGAGACTTTAAACTGTAAATCAAAAGTTTGTTTGGACACGTGGTACAGTAGGTGACGTCATTTCGAACGCGTTGGATTTGCCGCGAGAGCACGCGAGCGCGTGTGGTGTGCTGAGCTGTCAATCAAAGCGAAAGTAAAAAGCCTATATAAACACACACACACACACACACCATTACCAGTCTGAGCCTTGAACAGTAAGCATTTACTGTCAATTACTAAAGCAAACAGCTTTTTCATCTTGCTGTATCAAAAACATGGGCATCTTCTTCTCTAAGCTTTTCTCGCGTCTCTTGAAGAAACTAGATATGAGGTTGCTTATGGGTGAGTAAATGTTTTAAAATCCTAATCTTAGCTGTTATTATTTTACTATGACAAATAATGTATATGTTATCACTATTTATAATTATCCTATTTCATTAAATATTACTAACATATTAATTAGGCCTAACTGCTAAGTGAAATATAAGAAGATATTCCAGTTATGACTCTTGTACATGTTCATTGTGGAATAAATGTCAATATTTCTTCTCCAAGTTGGTCTGGACGCAGCAGGCAAAACAACAGTGCTCTACAAACTCAAACTCGGTGAAGTTGTCACAACTATTCCAACTATTGGTAAGAAACTCAAAGCAAGCTGCAATTTATCGAAATCATGATAAATTGATCGTGCCATGTCAAACTGTTCATTATTCTGCCATCTGTAGGTTTTAATGTGGAGACAGTTGATTATAAAAACATCTCGTTCACTGTTTGGGATGTTGGTAGTCAGAGTTTAATTCGAGGCCTCTGGAGACATTACTATCACAACACACAGGTATGATCTGTCACAAAAAATAGTGTTTAGTAGCTATTATTTTAACATTTAAATTCTAATCAGCTACTTGTATGAACTCTATTGAGTGTAAGTGTGTGTGTTTGTGTGATTCAGGGCCTGATCTTTGTGGTGGACAGCAGTGATCGTGACCGGATTGAAACAGCAGCAGAGGAACTAAACGCGATGCTGGCGGAGGACGAGATGAGAGACGCACTTCTGTTAGTTCTTGCCAACAAGCAGGATTTACCCAAAGCCATGACGGTCCACGAGCTGACAGACAGACTGGGTTTACACGCACTGAGAGGAAGACAGGTGAACACACACACTCTGTTTGACATGTAGTGCATGCTGTCAGTGTGTGTTTCAGTCAAATAAACACGTGCTTCTCTCTCTGTCTCTCAGTGGTTTGTTCAGGCCACATGTGCGGTTCAAGGATCAGGTTTATATGAAGGACTGGATTGGCTCTCGGATCAACTGTCCAAACGCCTTCACACTACTTGAAGAAAAGACGCTAAATCAGAAATATATTATGTCTCCAACTTTATTTTGAAATATTTATGGAATATATATATATTGTTACACATCTTAACATATAATTCTAGCTCAGAGCTTCCTGTATAGTTAATTTTACCACTAATTATATTTTTTTAAATCATTGTTGGCCTGTTTTTGGTTCTAATGTACATGTACATTTTGTATTTATATACAAAATAATGAATGTTTTATTTATATTTATTAATGCTTTATTCATTGAACAGTTGTATTTTTTTTAATATTTAAAATATAGAAAATTACCAGTTTACAGCAGATTAGCATTACTACAGTAAAAATGATCATAGTACAATTTTAACATTATAGAAATAATCATCAAATAAGCCTAAAACAACTTTCTGTGTGATTTCTATACTGGAATAGTAGAATTAAAAGATACTAGAGTTAAATAAAAATACTAGAATTTAAAGGCAATAGAACAGAAATAGATTTATGCCCAACACAGCTCCATTATTAACATTTATTTTATATGTAATTAAATATCTTCATACATAATTCTAGATTAGTGCATTCTGTATAGTTAATTTACCACTATATATATATATATATACTGTATATACATCATATTTTTTTTCATTTAAAATAGAATAGCAAATGACCAGAATCACGGGTGTAGGTTTGATTTTGGCATTGATGGGACAATTTAGTAGTGGCTGGATACTGGTAGAGACATGTCACAGCATCTCTACTAAACTCTACAGCCTTGGTACTCTTTATGTAAAGATGGCTACAGCACACTTGACCATACCTCCCCCGCTGACTTTTTATTTGTTTTTTAACAATTCCACCACTGGTGGTAACTATGACAACAGCACATTTTAGAATTAATATTTGATCAATTTTGGCCTATTTTGGGTTCTAATGTACATGTCTGCTTACAATATATGCCTTTCAAATACCTTAAATAAATGTTGTATTTATTTACAAAATAATTAAGTTATTAATTCAAAATTTTCCATGTAAAATATAATAGAGAATAATCTACAATAGTTTTACTGTGGTAACAGTTTTTTCAGTGTACAACCAAACATTTATTACAAAAATAATCATCAAATAATTTTGAGTGATTTCTACACTAGAATACTAAAACTGAATAGATAGTAGAATTAAAATGCAATGGAACAGAAACAGATTTATGCCCAACACAGCTCCATTATAGACATTTATTTACCCCTGAAAAAAATATACTTGTTCTTCATGAGAGTAACAGAACAGTGAAACTCTTTCTGTTGAAAAGCTACTGTGCATAATGTGGTTACAGAAAAAAAACATTAGTGGTTAATGGTTTGATAGAAAAATATTGTTTATGCTGAAACATCCGACTGTGGTTTGGTGCACACGGTTACTTCTTTTACAAAAATGTATATCATTCTGTAATAATCACCACGGCAACACATAAAACATCCTGTACAGTAACTACCGATATAAACGAGCAGATCAAAAATACAGATGGTAGAAATATCCATCAGTATAACAAACAGGCATCGTGTCAAAAGCTATTCATTATTTGTGTATTAGAATATACCGCTATAAAATTCAAGCATGTTAAAATAGGTTTGTCCTTCAAATATAAAACACCAATGGTTGCCCAACAACCAGTTTTCACAGGTTTGCACCAGAAACTACATCCGCAAGGCGTCCCATGATTCTCTGCTGTGACAAAACAGAACCAGCATCCTGCATATCAAAGCATTCATATGGATTAGATAGTGTGACGGTCTGTGGTCGTCCACCGGTTTGTCGTTCAAGCTCAAGGCACCAACAGGAAGGTTGCATTTCTATCTTTAAACATCCAACACGTATGTACTTCATGAAATATGACCAGTATTAAAGCACAAGCCATGGTTATGCACATATCGAGTAGAAACAAATAGTACATCGTCTGTTGCTCGACACATTCGACAGATAAAGTGCAACTAACAGAAGCTCTTACTAAAGCTCAAAAACAATCATTTAAAATGCATTTCATCCCGTCACGTGACATTAAAGCATTGCCAAACTATATACTTGGTCCTAAAAGAGAGGCAAAATCATTCAAATCAGAAAATCAAAGGCACCAGAAAATGCAAAACAAACCGTTTTCACCTTTATAGGTCAAGCGTGTGACTATATTGTGTGCAAGTATACAGTACAGGATCATTTTCTGAATGACGATGTATATATGAAAATCGAAGGAAGACCACAATCTCAATGCATCGGCACTGATGATTAAATAACTAGACTAGTTCTTTCAGTTTAGGTCAGTGAAGGTGGAAAGGAAAGGAAAAGATGATGGCTAATTTCCCTTTTGTTGTTAGTCAGTTTATGAATAAAAATAAAAATAAATACATATAAAACTGCACTGGTCTTTGCCTTCATTATGAGAGTTAATTAATGCCAGACACCTGCAATAATGTGCTTACTGTGCTTGTAAAGATGAAATATATTCACACTCTCTTCATCAGCATTTACAGGTTAGTAGTGATGGTCTCTGTAAAACAGGACCTGTTATTGCAATATTACCTCAATGAACACGATTCAAAACACAGCTGACTTTCATGAAAACAATTCCAGGGAACATTTCACCACAAACTACAATTGAAAAAATATTGTATAAATAAAAGCCCATTTTTAGAACCATTAATATTTTTAGCATTTGATATTTTCTTCTCTATATCGATGATAATTCTCATCATTGCATTATAACTTGAAGTACAAAAATAATTACTGAAATAATATGTAACAATTTTATAATACTTATTCTCACTATCCATGATAATTCTGATTACTGCATTATAACTTGATGTAAAAAAGGCTAAACAATTACTGAAATAATATTTAACAATTTAATACTTCAACGTGTAAATATGTCATTTTGTAATATGTAAAAAAAAAAGAGAGATTTGTTGCATTATAGTAATGAAAACTGGTTGGGAAATGTGTTTAATT